GTCTGAGTAGTATGTTTTAATGGCACTTTTTTCCATGCGCACCCTGCGTTCTGTTTTAGCGTGTAGCCACTCTCCATCTAGAGATCGCACGCCGAGCTCTTCGCTGGGCCGCAGGGGGGGTTTTCTTTGGTTCTAATATAGTCGCGAGGTACTAGTGACCGGAGAAACAAAATCCCACTTTTCGCGAAATAAATCTAGTGAAATTATTTTAAAAAAACGGTATGTGTGTGTAGGCATTTTATTTTATCTTTTTTTTACCATCTCTTTGTAAAAATCCGCTAGCGCACTAACAATTCCTCTCCAGATCCTCTCCCACTGTAGCGCACCCCTTCAAGGGCTTATGGCGGTTAATTTGTGTTTTTCTCAAGCGTCGCTGCGAGCATGGTAAAGGTGCCGCCGTCCTGTTCTTCTCGGTCCACCGTTAATTTAGTGTTCTTTCTCCCTTGTCTCTTCCCACACTGTCTCTAGCTAAGCCTCTCAACAGACATACAGATACACCGATACACTTCTCTCTTACAGCCCACCGCGACATCGAATAGGTTGACACACGTGCGAAGCCACAAAGCCATCTGAAAGGAAGCCAACAAGCGACTGCTGCGCACCACCGCTATCAACACGTCAAGAGGTCTTTTGCTTTTGAGGTGATCCCCAGAAGCAATCAATCACTTCACGATGAACTCAATCGCGAGGCATGCGGGCATCCCTCACCCGTACGGCGCCGAGGAAGCGGATCGACAGCCCGCCCCCGCCTTCAGCTCCACCGAGGACGACGCCGGCATTCCCCTCCACCCAAGCGCGAAGCGCCTCTTCGACCGCGCACCAGTGCTACGCCGCATTCCCATCTTCGGCGAGGCCAGCGAAGCATACGGCCCCGCGTGCGTTATCAGCCTCGCTCTCTCCTACCTGCTTTGTAAGGGCTTGTCGGGTGGATTTATTGGAGGCTCCGTCTTCCCTATCTTTGTCAATGTTTACAAAGTGGAAGCAGCCCGTTACCAGCGGCTCTCAGGCGTTATGGACCTTGCTTGGACCATCAAGGCCTTCACCGCTTTGATATGCGATACATTCGCCCTCTTCGGTTACACAAAGCGCTGGTACATGTTTCTCTCGTGCGTGGTGTGCGGTGTCTTTTCACTGCTCTACGGCCTGCTGCCAGCCAATCCATCATCTGGTGACATTGCTGCCGGTTTTGTATTCCTGAGTAACTATGGTATGGCCACTGTGGACATTCTTTCCGAAGGCTTTTACAGCCGTCTGATACGTAAGATCCCCGAGTCTGGGCCATCACTGGTGAGTTGGGTTTGGTGGTTTATATCATTTGGAGGTACTTTGGGCACTATGATCATGGGCCCGTTAGCCGATCTTGATATGCCGCAAGTCGGTGTGTTCATCACCGTTGGGTTGCAGTTCTTTGCATCTTTGATCTACCTTTTCAACCTGTACGGCGAGAAGATGAACCGTGAGGAGCGCATTGAGGACGCACGTATTATGCACAAGGAGCTACTCCGGGAGCTCGAGAAGGAAAGAGCCCTATCCCGCAAAGAGGGGAAGGAAGGCAGTCTCGATGTGGATCAGGGAAAGGCTCTACAGTTGGAGCCGATCGGCAACGGTGAGACAATGGCGTTGACTGACGATCTACCCCTGAACCTTACCCACACAAACCAGGAGCAGGCGCAAAAGCCGATGGAACACACAGGCGGATACCAAGACGAGGCGAGCCCAGAGCTTCTGCTGCCGCAGCCGATCATCTGTTGCTGTGGACTTGCCGAGATCAACAACGAGGTCGTCATGCGGAACAAGCGGGTTGTTGCATACTGTCTTGTCATAACAGTCGCTGTCATAACCATGGCTTTCGGTAACGTCTATGCAGATACGCTAGGGTTGCTTATTATTTGCGTAGTGGTGTCGCTGGTGTGCTCCGTGATGTCATTCTGGGCACTACCATATGTTATTGCAAGGGTTAATGTGTTTAATTATTTCAGTTCAGCAGTCTACATAGGTCTACCTGGAATCGGCAAGTTCTACATCGCTGGACCCGATTGTGTGCCTGGTGGGCCGAACTTCTCTTTGACTTTCGTGTACACTATATGCACTGTCATCTCTACTGTGTCGAGTTTGACCGGTATTTTGGTGTTCAACTACTTTTTCTCAAAAACCAACTACCGCAAAATCATGATCGTTACCACAATCGTACTTCTACCTTTTGTGTTGCCTGAGATCATCATGCTCAAGCGTTGGAATATACAGGTCGGCATTCCCGATCACTTCTTTTACATCGGTACCAGTACTATCATTTCACCACTGATCTCCATGGTTTCATGGATGCCAACGGTAATACTGCTGTCACGTGTGTGCCCGCGCGGCTCCGAGAGCATGGTATATGCGGTTCTAGCCAGCTTTGGCAATCTCGGCGACACCACCAGCACCTCGATAGGTGCCATTTTGATGGAGTATGTGTGGCCCATCAAAAGTAATCCGCCGTGCGACTTCAGTAACGCCGTGAAGCTCGTCATTGTCTGTGAGATCCTCTCACCGCTTCTGATCATCCCGCTGACCCTGTTGCTGCCAAACGTCCGTGTGTGTGACGAGATCGACGTCGATGGCAAGATGGCATCGAAAAAGACACAAGAAGAGCCCCATGTGAAGCCTGGCAAGGACAGCAACGAGGTCCATTGAAGCTCTCGAAGCGTGCATGGCGGGCGGGATGAGCTATCCCTCAGAGGCAACGTGGCCCAGGGGTACGGATGAACCCCATATAAACTTTTTTCCCTTACTTTACCTGACCCCTTTCCATTATAAACATTAGCGTATAT